CTCAGTTTCCTCCAGTGGACTTGAAAGGTAATTTCTTCATCTTTCCTAAAGCACAAGGTTCACAAAACTCCGGGGTTCCGGTAAGGGTGTCTATGTCCTGGAGCTGTCCTTTTGTAACCATTTGTTGCAAGTGGTCCATTCCAATGTGTCCCATTCTCCTATGCAATAAATTTACATCTACTGCTGCAAAAGCTGACTCCGGGTTGATTTTGGGTTTTGCTTGGATGTGATAAAGTTCTCGCTTGTGTAACGCAGTGAGGATAAGTTTCTCCTTTGTCCAAATTTCACAAGCATTTGACCCTGCTGGAAAAAGTGTTGATAACCCCGTTTTGGACAATTTGTGGACAAAGACGAGTGCTAACGTGAAGTTTGGCACAAGTAAGACATTTGACAGTGCAATATTGTAGTTCTTTTTGCCAACAGTTGCTTGTAGGATTACTGTTCCAATTCCAATGGCATTTACAGAGGATTCATTCCCAAAACTGATTGTCCTTGGAGGATGCAGAACATGGTATGTTCCTGGCTCAAACCAGGAGCGGTGAGGGACCATGTGGGATGTTGCTCCAGAGTCAATAATAATTGTTGTTTTGGTCTTATCGGGTTCCGACACAAGGTAAGCTTGAATGTGTTTAGCAAGGGGCTTGGAAATATGTACATGATCCAATGCAATATGACTCTTCCTCAGAGTCAGATCTGGATGATTGCTCCGCTGTATTTGCCTTTTCCTTTTTTTTTCCTTTATCCTTGTGTCTTTCCTTTCCCTTCTTCCTTTGACCTTTTTCAGCTGACTGAAGTGTTCGACACTCAGTCAATATAAGCCAGAGGGACTTTTGGCCAAGTAACAGGAGCTGGAAATGATCCAGCATGAATATGAGTAGAAAGTTTGAATATGACTTTCAATCTTCCAACTCTAATTCCTGATACGTGAAAATTATAAGACACATATCTACTATACTCACCTGTAACCCTAGTTGATTCTACACTCAAAAACTCCAATACTAATACAGTGTCAAACTTGACAGTATTATTACCAGGTCTGGCTCTAATCACTTCATACTTCATATCAGCAGCATCATAGGGGTGAGCTTGAGGTTATAAAAAATATCTAGTGTATTAAAAGGTAGGGAGGATGATGAGATTTAATTTCTGGATAGATGACTGGGATGCCCCTTTTGAAGTTGATTGAGGAATTTTTTCAAATCATGTTCAAAGCCTGGACATTTTTTATGTTTTTGTTGAATTGATTAAAGTGGCTGAAAAGGATAAGATGGTAATTTTGTCAATTGAATGCATAATCCAGAGTATGTTTTGAGGATATTGGTAGGTGGGGTAGAAAATAATAGAGATTTTTGATAGCGTTGTTTTTTATCAATTATTTCATTTTTTGAAGCAACTCTAGTGTAGGCAAGTGGTTACATAATACTGTGTTTATATTCAGCCACACAGCATGTTGCCACCTCAGTTCTCAACTATTTGGACTGAGGTGAGCAACATGTTTGTTTCTCTCCTACATACAGTTTTACTTACAGTCTGTTGGTCTTCTGTTTATCAGAATTATAGGTTATGAACCCTGCTCATTTCTGAAATGTAAACTTAAGAAGCAATTTATCTAACCACACTCTATCAAACTATCATATCCACTATGACACCATCAACAACACCATCAATCTCCCAAGCTGGTGCTACATTCTGCTACCTACATATACCTTCCCACACACATTGCCTATTTCGGTATCACCTGTCCACGTTTGTTCAACACAAACACCTACCCTAAAGTAGTCACTATATATACAGACATGTATCATAGTTACTATCTCCAATATGATTGTACATTTCAACAGTGTAACTTGGTATTCATCAGTTGAAACCCTCATCATCAGAATATGTCTCAAACTTGTCTACAATGAGCTTATCAGAAACCATTTATACATCAGAAACCCAGTGTTACCAGGCTTGCACGTTCCAAGCGTAACACATTCTATCACTTGAAAATGACGGCTCAAACTTCCAAGTGTAGAAGTACCAAATACAGATAATCTTGGATATGTGTGGCCTACTAGGTATAATTGAAAGGTCAGATATAAATCCAAGGAACTTGAAACCAGTAAAACAAGGAAGCTAGGGCCCAAATATCACGTAACTTAAAGGACAAACCTATTACAATACACAATTTTTGGACCTTTAAACTTCATTTGTAGTTTTCACACACTGTGCTATGTGGCACTTTCTATTTTGTTCAAACTCCACTTTCTCGCGCTGCACTGCTTTTCTTTATTCTTAGCTACAAATTTCTCATGCAGTGGAGCTGGTCATGTGGGTTGTGCCCTATGACATCATCAGCAACTGCCTTTATCAAACTGTATACTACACATGTACAAATAGTTTGTAGATGTATATAAGCCCCAATAGATCAAGGAGACTCCTCAGCAAGTCCTCCTATTGTTTACCCACAACCAACTCAATCCTAACTTAAAACATAACCACTCCCACTCACTTCATTCAAAGCTTGTCTGAGTTGTGCGCCAGAGTATACAAACTCTTGGTTGTAAAAAAACTCTTAAACAGAGTGCTCTATTTAACAAGTGCCAAAGAAGTATGGACTCAGCTCAAGAATCACTATGAAGGGAAAAGCAAGCAAACCATTACTTACCTGATGGGCAAATTATTTTGAGGCAACTTAACCAAGGACACAGCCCTAGAACCCCAAATAAACAGCATGCACTAAAAGGCACATGTGTTAACTTCACTCGAACAGCCTCTAGATGACTCATTGGTAGCAGTGGCTATGATTATCTTGCTACCACCCTTATACTCCATCCTTTGCACAATCCTAATGTCTACTAAAGATAAAATGTCAATGAACACCGTAATTGGACACCTAATTGAGGAGAAATCCCGAAAGTAAAATAACACTCAGACTGTATTTGCAGCTAAAGTGTTAAAGCACAAGCTAAAGGAGAAGTCTGAAAAGAATAAGAAAAATAAGTGTTTCTATTCCAGTTGCGGCAAACTCGGCTACATTAAAGGAAACTGTTGCAAAAAGAAAGCTGATGAGGCAGCCAAAGCAAGTTCTGAGAAGGACAAACCTGAGCTTGCAGCTAAAATAGCAAAAACCTCATATGAAGAACCTATACAGCTCTTCATGGCCAACCTAACAAAGCCACAGAATTCCTGCTCTCAAAACAACAATTCATAGGTCATTGATTCTGGAGCATCAGTGAATATGACATCCCGTTGTGACTGGTTCATCACCTTTCACAAGGTCATCCCACCTGAAAGAGTCATACTTGCAGATAACAGAGTAATCTTGGCCACCGGGATAGACTGCATCAAGCTGGATGTCTGCAAAGGAAATCAGATGACTCGTTAAACCATGCTACAGGATGTTTACTACATTCCTGATTTGTATAACAACCTGATGTCAGTATCCAGGTTATTGAGCAAAGGCTATGAAATAAGGTTCTAGAACAGCCTCTGCAAAATACTATGGAAGGGACAAAAGGCTGTGTTAGTGCATAAGCATAAAAACCTTTACATACTAGATGCAACACCACACATACCTTAATGAGCCTGCATGGCCTCACTTCAATTGGATGCACTGCCAAGCCAAACAAACCATCTATTTGCGTTGCCAATGAAGCTGATAGTCTTGGAAGTGTCACTAAAGATATGGCATAATAGGCTGGGACATATCCACTTTGATTCCATCCAACAACTATCTAAAAATGAGATAGTTAGAGGCCTAGAAACCGTCAGAGAACCAGACATAAAGAGGGACGACTGTAGTCCCTGTTTAGCAGGGAAACAGACCAGAAAAAACATACCCCAAAAATCCAAAGTTGAAAATCCTCACGTTCTACACAGGACATACTTGGATATCTGTGGGTCTATGTCAGTCTTTATACACTCAGGGAATAGGTATTTCATCACCTTCATCAATAGACATTCACACAATCTGGTCATGAAACTACTAAAAATGAAGGATAAAGCATTTACCTGCACCAAAGAATACCTAGAAAGGGCAGAAAACAAAACTGGTCGGCAAGCAAATTTTTTCAGACGTTATTGAGGCGGTGAATACGGATCCAAAGAATTTGAGACTTACCTCAAGTCCAAGGAGATCCATCATGAAAAAACCAATGCCTACACACCTCAAGAAAATGGTGTGGCAAAATGAATGAATCATACCATTATGAAAATGGCACGTAGCATGTTAGAAAGCACAAAACTGCCCAAATCCTGTTAGGGTCATGCAGTGCTACATTCTGCCCACATAATTAACCAAGTCCCTATATACACGCTATAAGAAAAAATAACCCCTCATGAAGCTTACTCAGGACACAAGCCTTCAGTTTCCCATCTATGAATGTTTGGTTGCAAAGTGTATGTTCATGTACCTGATGAAAAAAGGGGGAAACTTGATGCAAAAACGCTTGAATGTGTAGGGTATGCCAAACACAGGCACACTCATGTATGCTTGCACAAATTATCAGGACATATAATTGAATCTAGAGACATTGTCTTCCAGACAATGAAACAGGCCTAACTCATGTACTGTTGAGTAATGAGAGGATTGATCAACCACAGGTAGACAAAGGCACTTACCTCCCAGAGCTACATCCAGTTGCTGAAATTGAATCCACCCCCATTCCGGATGCGGACAACACAAACAGCTTAAGCAGAGAGGGTGATGGGGAAAGCGAGCTTGATGAGACATCTTTTGGTGCAAGTTGAGTTGCTGACCCAATTGATAAAAGCATGTACAGGAACAAATTTACCAAAACTGTGGCCATGATTTATATGTGCCAAGTGGCTGACAGAGTGTGCCAAATTTCATTCCTGACCGGCACCAAATGTGCATGGGGTGAAGGGCACATGCCTCGAGGAGATGGGAGTCAAGATAGCTACTAGTCATCGTGCAAAACAGCTGCATTGATGGTGCAAAGAACCTACCTGAGACACACTAAGGTCACTCAAAGACACCCTCTGCGTTTTCTAAGATGTCTGGCCTCAATAAATCTACAGATACAACCACAACCACATCACAGAAAAAAAAAAAGGTGCCAAAGTGCATCTGGACAGGAAGCGACACCAAAAAATTGGTTGAACTTGCTGAGGAGTATATTGGCCTGCTTGGAGAGGGTGGGGGTATAAGCCTCAGTTCTATAACCTTCCTGAGGGCATTCTGGCACCTTAAACAACAAAAGGAGCCACCAAAACAGCCGACTCAATCCATAACAAATGGTTCAGTGTTAGTAGTAGAAGTACATTTTAAATCTTCATTGCTAACTGTTATTTCAGCTAAAGAAGGAGCTTATTTGTGTAAATCTGTTGATGAACACATCTGGGCTTGGATTTGATGTACAATGTGGACTGAAGATTACTGATGCAAACAGGCACATTTGGGATGCTTTCCTCAAAGTGAGCATCTTTATTGTTAGCAGGTATGGGAGGGGCTTATCTTTTTTTCGCAGAGCAAGTCAAAAGATGTTAAGTCAACCTACAACCGGTTAGCTTTCGATGGGTGGAGGTGGTATGACCCAATCACAGCTATTCTACCAAGCCGGGCAAAAGGGACTCATATTTTCTGTGCATCTCAAGCACAATCTGCAAATATCAGTTCGGCAAGTAAAGATAGGATGGATGTGGATGCTGAAGGCAATGATGGAGGGGAGGATGGAGAGGATGAAGGTGATGAAGAGGGTGCAGAAAGAGAGGCAATTGAAAAATAAGCATTTGTTAGTGCCAGAAAAGACAAGGGAAAGAGTGGGAGTGAATCCGGAACCTTGTATGTGTCATCTATCCACTCCAAACCTACTAGCGCGTCTGTCAGCATCACATCCTCCAGAAAACGCAAGTATTTGGCTGTTGATAGTACTAGTACCTCTGTAATCTCTGCCACCCCGAGCAAAGCCCCACATTCTTCTGGTGCCACTGCAATCAATGGTGTGAAGCAACAGATGCAGAGGATGGCGGATAACAAGGAACAGCGCGATACCAAGTGCAATGACTTCAGGTACCATTTCCTGAACATCGTAGAGAGTGCTTTCACCGGCAGTGTATCCAGTGGTGGATCTTCAAATATTGCTCTGTCTTTGTCTTCTCAACACGTTGAGCCTTTGAACACAAGGAGTCAGGCCATTAGAATGGCTGGACAGATTGAGACACACCTCAATGATAAGCAAAATATTGCATTCATTGATATGCTCTATGCAGATGATGTGCTGATAGGTGATTACCTCAATATGGCCACACAGGATGAAAATCTTCGCATAATATGGGTGGATAAGCTGTTGAAAGACTCTGCTGCTATTCCATCCAACTAGGTCTGTTGTTGTCTGGTGTCTGTTGTTGTCTTCATTTTGTGTTATAACTTGCTGTACCCCTGCTCAAATATAAGCTATGTACGTTGATGTGGAAATGGAATCAATCTTGCTGTAAACTTATAAGAAAACAAAAGAATACCGGCACCCTAGCTACTCTGTAAATAATTTTCCTCTTGTCCTCAGCTCTTGATGATATGATGCCCACATCCTCTCTGCAACAATCTGATCTCAATGCAAATTGGCTCCAAGCCGGTCTGGCTCAGTTGTTGGGCCTTCTGCGAGGGAGCCGGTGCTCTCCAGGGTTGAGGTAGTACTTGCTTCGGGGAATGTATTGATATCTTCAGGATCATGAGTTTGGATGTAGTTGTGTACCATGCAAAGTGCTGATGGTACACAGGCTTAAATGTCCATATCAAATTTGGGGGGGCAGACGGGGATTCCAAACTGGCGCTTGAAAACTCCAAAGATTTGCTCAATGCAGCAGCAAGCTTGAGTATGCTGCAAATTGAAGAGTTCTTCCTTGCTCTTTGGCCTAGTTATAATGTTAGAATAGCTAGATATATTATGAATAGACTCACGAATAGACTCACCTAAGTCCAATGTGGCCCCATTTGGTCAAATGATAATGTTCCCCTTAATAAAAAACAAGGAGTTCAGGGCAAGACCCAAAATCAGTGTCCGCCAGGTAATATTTACCTGGGGGGACACATAGAATGTGCTGCTGAGCATCATTGTATATGGCGGCATTGGCAGCAGAACCCTCCCACCCTGTAAGCATATAGAGAAACTGTAAATCAAAGGAGCAGCACGCTAGACAATTCTGGGTGACTGCTCCCTTGCGGTTTCTTGACAGATGGTGCTCAGACAACTTTGGGGCACATGTGATGTGCGTAGCATTAATGCTGCTAATAGCACCTGCAAAAAATGGAAATAGCTTTTGGTTGTTCTGAATTTTGGGTGGAATAAAATCATTGGCAGAGGGTAAGTATACAGTGTATATGGGTGCTGATGAAAATGCAAATAAATCTCCTTGAAATACCTGTAAAATGGTGAAAAGCTGGTGGATTAGTAGATAAAACTTTACTCACTTTGAAAGGGTGTCATTTGCACACTGGAAATGCTCGCCAACATGCTTCAGAGTGAGCTCTGTGATGCACATATACAGGAAGACACCCAGCTTCTCCTGTAAGGTGACATATTTGGGATTGATATGGCCTGCTTGCCTCAACACCCAGATCAGCCCTTCAAATACATGCTTATTTACACCTAGCTTGCTTTTGACCCTACCCGGATGTCCATTGATCAGCTCTTGGATCCAGCCTTGGCCTGACAGCACAGAAGTGTGGTATGGTGGCTTGTCGTACAGCAATTGAGAGTATAACACGATTGATTTGGAGGCGGCAAGTACAGCATGTTCATCATCATCATCATCATCCATTGAGTCCTCATCATCCAACACCAGATACTCCAGTAGCATGAGACGGAGAGTTTTATTATCCATTGCAATATCTCACTCAGGCAAGTGACAGTACTACTTCCATGTTTGGATGCCGAATCCCATCATCAAGGTTAGAGCTCCAACTCAAAAGGACAGCCACCATAGTTACGGGCGGTAATTTTGGGCGCCCAAACCACATTGTTTGGATATTCCCGTACATGCTCCAGGAACCAACGAGTTCAATGCACCTGTTGCGGGTTGTGGACTGTCAATAAAGGCCAAATATCACTCAATTTGACCTACTCCCACATCCAAGGGTCCTCCCACTCCATACCCTCATGCTATACCACCTCCTGCCATCCGACAGTCTATCAAAAACCAAAGTATGGAAGCTAAAGTGTTCAATCTACGGACTTAAGCAAGCTGGCTGAGCTAGGTACACCAAAATCCAATCAGAGTTCAAATGCCTAGGATTCACTCAATGCAAATCAGACCATGCAATGTTCCACAAGAGGCACAACAAGACTTATGTCATAGTGGCAATATATGTCAACATCAAGCTGCTAATCTCAAATCACCTGAATGCAATAAAGCAACTTAAGGCTGAACTGAGCCAGACATATGAAATGACAGATCTAGGAGAAGCCCACTGGATCCTCAACATAGAGACCATTTGAGACAGCCCGAACTGGAGCATCAAATTGTCCCGGTGTCAGTATATCAACTCCGTACTAGGTCAGTTTGGAATGGCTGAATATAGGCCTGTAGTCACTCCTATGGAACCAAATGCCAAATTGGTTAAACTGGCTGAACCTGAAATCAATGTAAAGGACTACCAAAGAGCATTAGGATCACTCATGTACGCTATGCTGAGTACAAGACCAGATCTGGCCTATGCAGTAGGTATTCTGAGCAAGCACAGAGCAACACCAGGTTCATCTCACGGGAATGCAATGAAACACATTTACACGTACCTGAAAGGTACTACTAATTCTTCTCTGTTGAATGGACCTGCAAATGCAAATAAAAACCTTACTGGTTACATTGATGCCAATTTGGGTGCAAACATAAATGATAGGCAATCCATATCTGGTTTTGTTTACTTGCTGTATCACAGGGGGAAAACCCAAATTTTGCCTTGAATAAAATGCCCATCAAAGTATGTGCAAAGACAAAATATAAACATAGTTTTTTCCTAGATAAAATAGCAATAAAATTTGAAACTACTGCCTGAATTTACTGATTTTATCTCAACATGCAACCATGAAAAACATATAACCCCAATTTGTTATTTTCTGACAATAAAATTCTATCTATAGTATTAAGTCATTTTAATTATTCCCAATATGTTGCTACATTTATTCTACTGAGAAAATAGTGACAAAAAAGCAACTAAATCCAGGGTTTATCTCCTCATAACAATAAAAATCTTCTTTTTTTTTCTTCACAATATTTTTTCACCCAAAATTTGGAACTTATAGCCAGAAAAAATAACTATTACATTGTCAATTTAAAATAAAATGTAATGAGACAAAATAGGTTAAATGTAGATCTGTTTATCTAATAATGTTATATTGGAATCAACTTGTATTTTACCTTGCAAAATTGTATTGAATTTTATCAACTTGAGGATCCAATAAACATTACTGCCACATTCCAAAAGTAGTCCTACTTTTTCTTCTTTTTCCCCTGTAACGACCAAAGTTTGTATACTCTGGCGCACAACAAGACAGGCAGTGAGTGGTGAGTGGAGGAGAGGATAACCTCCCTTATGGTAGGACCAAGTTTGTTATGGGTAAACAACAGGAGGACTTGCTGAGGAGTCTCCTTGATCTATTGGGGTTTGTATACATCTACAGACTATTTGTACATGTGTACTATATAGTTGATGAAAGCAGTGGCTGATGATGTTATAGGGCACAGCCCATGTGACCAGCTCCACTGCGTGAGAGACTTGTAGCTAAGAATAAATAAAAGCAGTGCAGCGCAAGAAAGTGGAGTTTGAATGAAATGGAAAGTGCCACATGGCACAGTGAGTGAAAACTACAAAAGAAAGTTAAAGTGGAGAATGAAATTTAAAGGTCCAAAAATTGTGTATCATAACACTACCCTTTTAAGGCTCAACTTCCAGGCAAGACCAAGTACCAGAGGTAGTGGATAAATTTTTGGGCATAGGGAATTAAAAAGGGTTAAATACATGCCTCCAAGCTTCCTAGGAGCCGAGGGATTCTTGGGATAAAATTCTCAAACAGCATTGTGGGAATTTTCCAGATGGGCTTCTGGTTCCCATGTTTTGGCCTCATCTCCATAGCCTTTCCATAGGGCTAGGAACTCTAATTTTCCACACTTCAAGAGTGCGTCCACCACCTGTTCAACTTCAGATTCTTTTTCACCTTCCTGGGTGACTACAACCGGTCCGGGCTGGTATATGTGCTATCCTGGCAGTGGCCCTTTGTAGGGTTTCACATAGCTAATGTTGACGGTAGGTTCTACCTTCATTTGTTTGGGGAATTCCAGCTCCACTGTGTTGGGTTTGACTCCCTTAATCCAATAAGGACCAATCCACTATTTGGTCAGTTTTCTAGACTGCCAATCTTTTAAATTTGAGTGGTCGGTATCCAACCAGACCAGGTCTCTGACCTTGGAGTCAGGGGTCTTAGATCGTCCACACTCTGCCCTGTCTTTTATCTGCTCTACATTTTTGAATAGCGCCTTGCATGTTTCATCTAAGACAGACTTTATACCCTTGACAATGCTCCTGGCAGCCGCATTCTTGCTTTTGACAGGTCCTACACCTATTCTGGGGAGGTATGATCTTGTAACCTCAAATGGTGCCTTCCCTGTAGCTGATGACTATTTGATATTGTACAAGAACTGGGCTATCTTGAGCCACTTGGCCCAATCTGTCTGTCTGTCATTGATAAATATATGGAGGTATTGCTTCAATTCCTGATTGAGCCTCTCCATTTGTCCATCTGTTTGTGGATGGAACACCGTTGATAACTTAGGTTTGATGCCCAGCATCCAGCATAGTTCTTTTGTAAATTCACTAGTAAATTGGGGCCCCCTATCAGAGATAACCGTTTCTGGTAACCCATGGATAGACCATACAAAATCTTTAAATAAGTTTGCCATACCTGCGGCTGTAATAGTTTTATTTGTGGGAATAAATACCACTTCTTTGGAGAAGCAATCTACCATCACCATTACTGAATTATACCCATTTGACTCGGGTAGATCCGTTGTGAAATCAACCGATATATCCTGCCAGGAACCAGCTGGTATTGGATTTGGCATAATTTTAGTGACAGGTGGTTGATGCAAGTTCTTTGCCATGGGACATCTCAGTCAGGATTTTACATATTCCTGTACATCTTTGACCATGCCAGGCCACATGTAGTTTCTGGAGATCAACTCCATTGTTCATTGCCATCAAGGTGCGCCTTCTCTTCTGATGAGATGGATGTCCTTCTTGAAGACTTCTAGAAGATTGGAGTCCTGCCCAATTCAAACATTGGCAACCCTGGATTGATCTATCAGGGTGACACCTTTGTTGTCATCTTTGATGCTGATGGCATAATCCTCTCTTCTAGATAAAGCATCTACTTTTCCCATAGAAGTACCAGGCTTATGAATTAATTTATAATTAAACCTTGACAAGTATACTGCATATTGGGCCTGTCTTTGCTTCAAGTCTTTAGCCGTTATAAATACTCCAGAATTTTATGATTGGTCCATATTCCAAACTGGTGCCTAGCACCTTCTAAGTAATGCCGCCAGTGCTCTAGTACTCTAATAATGTCTAGCATCCTCTTGTCATATATTTGATAGTTGCACTCTGTAGGCTGCAAACTATGCAATAAATAGGCACAAGGCCTCCAAAGATTGTCAGGGCATTTGATTGATAAAACAGCCCCAGTAGCAAAATCAGAAGAGTCGGTTTCCAGCCATAACTCTTTGTCTAATTCTGGAAATGCTAATATGGGCACTGTTGTAAATGCCTGTTTAAGCTTATCAAAACCTTCTTGTTGTTTGGCACCCCAGTGCCAAACAACATCCTTTTTAGTGAGATTGTTCAATGGTATTGTTATCTTTGCAAAGTTTTCAACAAGCCTTTGGTAGAAGTTGCCTAAGCCAAGAAAGGCCCTAACTCCTTTGACGCAAGTAGGTTCAGGCCAATCCAATATAGCTTGAACTTTCTTAGGATCCATCCTGATTCTGTTTTGGCCTATGATCATACCAAGGAAGTCTACTTCCTTTAATTTAAAATTACATTTTTCAGGTTTGACAAATAGGTCCCATTCATGTAAGCATCAAAGGACTTATTGCACGATCCTGTCATGCTCAGCCTCATCGTCCGACTTTGTAAATATTAATAAATTGTCAATGTAAATGACAACACAGTTTTCCATATCCGCAAAGATCTCATTCATCATGCTCTAAAAAGTTGCCGGTGAATTGGTCAACCCAAAGAACATGATGAGGGGTTTGAAGGATCCTTGGTGGTACGTGAATATGGCCTTCCAAGCATCTTCTTCTTTGATGCGTACATTATTGTACCCCCATCTGAGGTCCATCTTTGTCAAGATCTTGGCACCAGCCAATTTGTCTACTGGCTGACTGATCAAAGACAGCAGATACACATTTTTAACCATGTACTCATTTAAGTAATAATAGTCCATAATTATATGCTTTTTACCATCCTTTTTGGGAACAAAAAACACCAGGGACATTATAGGGCTCTTAGAAGGTCTGATGTATCCTTTTTGGGCTGTTTATCTATGAAACTAGAAACCTTATCTCTTTCTGGTGCAGAAAGGGAATTATGTGTCCCTTTTGGGGTTTGAAGGTGTTCTTCAAATCTATAGCATGGTCCCAAGGCTTGACTTCTGGGAAGCGTTCAGATTTATGTTTAAAAAAGACTTTCCAAAAGTCATGATACTCTGCGGAAGAGGTACCAGCCTCTTAATTTCTTTCTCAGGCTTCACCTCAATATTCCCATCATCAATCTTATCCAAAGATTTGAGTTTAGCATAAATGTGACCAGTGTTTATCCTTTCATCAAGCTCAGTTTGACAGACATGACTCAGCTTATCCAAGTCATCACACTCCTGAGGGCAATGTGACAATGTGACAACCCCTGTCTGCCAGTCAATCTCAGGATTGTGTTTAAATAGCCAGGTCCAGCCTAAGATTAAATAACTCTTCCCTAGTTGGGTAGCTTTGGCAGTAACTCGTTCCCTGTGTCCTTGATACTCAACGACAAAAAAAATTTGTGCGTCATGCAGTCACCCGTGTTAAGTATACTGTCAATGTTATATACAGGAATAGATACATTCAATTTTACAAGGGGGAGTCTGACTTGCTCTGCCCAGACCTGATCTACAAAGATGCCATTAGTGTCTGAATCAAGCAGTGCGCTGGTTGGGTGTACTATGCCCCGGGTAAGGTTTTCCACACCAACATCTAAATGGATCTCTCTTTGAAATATATATGTGTGCATCAACTCACACCTTGGGATTTTGTTGGAAAGTGGCTTTGAAGAAGAAGAAGAAGTAACATCAAAAGAAAAATGTTTTTCTACTTTAGGTTTTTTTATATTTATATTTATCATTTTACCAGAATCAAACACCCTTGTATTTGTCTCGCCAGGGCCACACTCCTGGAGAGACGCTGGTGCAGCGGTAGTATCATAAATACTACAATTGCATTTTCAAATACAAGTACATACTTCAGATAACAGATTCAGAAATTTATTTACAAAATGGGGAGCCACCCCCTTTCCTTTATTGCTCGTGCAACACCCAGGAGCAGGGGCCACCTTGTTGTGGTTTACTTCATTGTTAATAGGAGCAAAGGCACCCAAGTGACCTAGACTCTGAACTCTTTTCAATGAGTTTTCATTTCAGCAATCTGTTGGTTGTAAAAGAAGGCTCGGATTTTGTCGTACAAACAACTGGTCACAGTATTGAGCCAATCATCCGGCTTTTCAGTTTTTAACTGGTGCAACTGGCACCCTTGGTTATTTTTTTTGCTGGGCAGCTTGCACCCCATTTCTACAGTCTCGGGACATGTGTCCCTCCTGGCTGGCCACAGTTGTAACAGTTGTCTTTGAATCTGCACATCTGTCCGCCTTGTCCCACGCTGATATCCATAAGAGCACCCTGTCCTGGCTGTAGCCCAAACGGCTTGAACCCGTGAGAGTGATTATGATTTTGGTTTGATGACCCAGGGTGCCTCTGGGAATAGTTGTTTTTGGTGGTGGACCCGTCACCTAATTGCATTTCGTAGAGCTCCATGGCCCTACCAATTTTGCGAACCTCTTCTGCTGCTTGCAAGAGGTTCTCATTTCTCATATCTTGCAGATAAAGCTGTTCTGCAATGTAGGGGTTCACATTGCGTTCTAGCAGTTCTACTGTGTATTCATTACCTAGACCCCCTTAGATGGAGAGGGCCAGAATCCAGGTTAAGAAATCATCTGTCCTCATGTTTCCTTGTTTGAAGGAGCGGATTGGTTGATGTGCCCAGTCACGCCCAGCTTGGGGTTTGAAATATTTTTCAATCTCCCCTTTGAGATCGTCCCAGGTAGGCCAGTGATTTGCAGTGTAACACTCCTGGAGTCTAACTTGGGTGTATTGACCCACCACAGGTCTTTGAGTCTTGACAGCACTGCTGTCACTATTTAAAAATCATCGGCAAATGTGTCCCAGTTTGCCTTGATCCACCATTCAGCAAATCTTGCTTGGTCTCCCTCAAAAGTGCCAGGGTCAGCAACAGTCTTGACTTTCTTGTTGGACTTCCGCTCAACTACTTTAGGGGGGTTTGTCTGAAGCTCGCTGAGTTGCATGGTTAATGACATAATCTGTGCACGCATGTTGTGCAACAAAGTGTTGACATTGGGTTGTGGTTGTGACAACATGTTGACTTGTTCTCTTTGTAAATGTAAAAGATGTAACTGAGGGTCCCCGCTTGCTATCTGCGGATCTACCTCTTCCCAGCTGAGTAATGGGTCTCAATCCCCAACTACCCACACTATAGTATTTGAAAAAGTATATAAAAAGGTAACAGTAATAAACCCTGGTCCAAACAGTTGTCAGGGGGTGGTCCACTTGTTAAGCTGTCAACCCTTCTCCAACTGGCGGAGGCAAGTGCTTGGCCTGGTCAGAGGAACATGAAGAAGAATTTTTGTATGTAGATCTAATCAACAATAGTTCCACACTACTGCTGAGCTATAGTGCTCCCCTTAATACTGGGGGCCATGTAATATTTGATTCAATCTTCCTAGTACCTTGTCCTAAGGAGCTTGCCTGCAGGATTGGGACACACACTTTGTTTGCGCAGATAGCAAAAGCTCAATGCCTTCTGGCACCAAAGTCTTACTGTTCAAAAGATTCCACTTAGCCTTGTGGTCCGGGTTTTCACAATGTGCGAGAGAGTAAAAAAGCAAGTCCTAATGTAACAACCAAAGCTTGTATACTCTGGTGCACAAGGAAGACAGGCAGAGAGGGGTGAGGGAAGGAGAGGGTAATCTCCCTTAGGGTAGGACCAAGTTTGTTATGGGTAAATAATAGGAGGACTTGCTGAGGAGTTATCTCCTTGATCTATTGGGGTATTTATACTACTACAGACTATTTGTACATGTGTACTATACAGTTGATAAAGGCAGTGGCTGATAATGTTATCGGGTGTAGCCCGTGTGGCCAGCTCCACTGTGTGAGAGACTTTGTAGCTAAGAATAAAGAAAAGCAGTGCAGTGTGAGAAAGTGGAGTTTGAATGAAATGGAAAGTGCCACATGGCACAGTGTGTGAAAACTACAAAAGAAAGTTAAAGTGGAGAAATAAATTTAAAGGTCCACAAATTGTGTATTGTAACATCAGTGGCTCTGTCAAACACTAAAACTGAATATGTTGCAGCATCAGATGCAACTTTTCACCAACGCACCAAGCACACAGACATCAGACACCACTTTATCTGAGAGAGACTAGAAGGAGGGGATATTAGTCTTGAATATGTACCAACTGGAGAGCAAGTTGTGGATGTGCTAACAAAGGGACTACAATATTTAAAGCACAAGATATTTATTTTATCTATGACTTTAAAGTAACTATGCCCTTGTTGAGTGGGGGTGTTGTTTTTTATCAGTTCTTTTGTTTCTTGAAGCAACTCTAGCATAGGCAAGTGGTTACATAATACTGTGTTTATATTTAGCCACACAGCATGTTGCCACCTCAGTTCTCAACTATTTGGACTGAGGTAAGCAACATGTTTGTTTCTCTCCTATATACAGTTTTACTTACAGTCTATTAGTCTTCTGTTTATTAGAATTATAGATAGCTTTCAAAAGATGCCATTTTTGGAATTGATTGTGGAAATTTTCAAATTATGTTCAAAGCCTGGATATTTTTTATGTTTTTGTTGAATTGACTAAAGTGGCTGAAGAAGATAAGATGGTAATTTTGTCAATTGAAAAACTATTCCAGAGCATGTTTTGAGGATATTGGTAGGTGGGGTAGATAATAGTAGAAATTTTTGATAGCTTTCCAAAGATGCCACTTTTTCTTGTCTTGTGAACCATGCAATCATTTGAGGACACTCATTCCTATGATTACATGCTCTCCAAGCATTTTTGGCCATGTTAACATAAAAATGTTTAAACATCTCAGTGTTGTAATTGTCAGTGGTCCCAAACCACCTGATTAAGTTGACATAATATATAATATAGAAGAGAGTGAATATTAGCGATATTGAAATCTTCCCTGACTCCAAATGGTACAAATATAAACTTGTTTTGATGGAACATTGCAATAGCTTTTGAGAGATATCCCAAAGTAGTGTCACTATGGGTGAGATATTGAGCTATATATACTGTTTAACGTCCAGGAGTGATCTGATGGAATTATTGCTTCCTTGGGTAATTTGCCAATGAGACAGCCCAAAAGGATTTTGGCCATGTCTTTATGTTTACTGCCTGATATCTGAGATAATGAAGATATTTTGTTCTTGAAATGTCAAGTGCCATAGGAGGGTGGGAGGTACTATATCCTTTGATCTAATTCTTCAGCTCTGAAGAGTTCTTGGCACCATTTTATGATATATTTGACAACTCCTTGGTAAAGCCGATACCAAACATCTGGTGTCATGGAACAATGGATATCAGTGTAAGGAAAGCCTTCCCAGAAATGCTCAATACAGGATACATCCTTCTCCATGCATGTCTTATAGGACAAAAATACTGAATCTGCTACCTTGGCTGTATAAATGGTGTTACAACCAAAGTTTTGGTACTCTGGTGCACAGAGAAGTCAAGCAGGAAGAGCGAGTGAAGGAGTGGGTAAACTCCCTGAAGGTAGGACCAAATTAGTTGATGGTAATCAATAGGAGGACTTGCTGAGGAGTCTCCTTGATTTTATTAGAGTATATATACTATTACAGAGTGTTTGTACATGTGTACTATACAGTTGCTAAGGGTGGTGGCTGATGATGTCATAGGGTGCAGCCCTTGTGACCAGCTCCACCATATGAGAGAGTTGTATCTAAAAAATAAGAGAAAGCAGTGCAGCACGAGAAAGTAAAAATATAAGTGGAGTTTGAAAATGGAGGAAAGTTCCACATTGCACAAGTGTCTAAAAAGGAAAGAAAGTTGAAGTGAAGACTGAAAGTTAGAAGTCCAAATATTGTGTATTGTAATAAATGGCATCCTAGGTTCTAATAGGTATCCTTTCATCTCCAGGCTCCCTGTTCTCTAGCATGCAATGGCATTTGGAACATGTCCCATACTTTGAGCACAAAATAAGGCATTGTTCAGAGTAATTAGCCACGTAGCAAGCCACAACAGGATGGACCCTTCTAGCAGACGAGGTCCAGCCCGTGGCTCTGCCACTGGTGCAATGTTTTTGTGATATAATAAATAATAATATCACTGTTAAGTGATCAGAATGTTAAGTAAACTTATGCTGTCTGTAATATATGTTAAGTCTTTGAATCCTATGATGCATGTTTGACTTGCAGTTTTGTTGTTGAATGTCCTTATAAGCCTGCCCTAAACTTGTGCACAGTATACTAAATTCAAGCAGATAGTTCATTGAACCTTTACAAACATCAACATATATTGTAACGTAAAAAGTCTATGGTATTACATTGATAAATTGATGAGAAATAAAAAAAGAGACTCCAGAAATGGTAAAGGATGAAATATGATCTGAGAATAAAACACTTTAGTAAAGAGGGTGAGAATTGGGGAAAAATCTACTTGCCAGTCACAGATAAAGCCAGTCAGAATTTCGGGATACACCACATTGACAGCATGTCTGTCATTTGAACCATGTGGAAATAGCACTTTTATTCTCTCTCCTGAAGTGCAGCGAGACAATGCAACATAAAGTTGCCCATGTGAAAACACTGGAACACGTAAATCCAGCCCAACCTATGTCATTGATTGACCTTGAGACTTGTTGATGGTCATGGCAAAGGCAACACGGACAGGGAATTGACGACGTGATAACTTGATGGGCAATTCTTCTGATGAAGGTTCCAATGTGAGGCGTGGAATAAATGTTATCTTTCCTGCATGTTTTCCTCCCAAAACACGGCACTTCAATACTCTTCTCTTCATCTCTATCAAAATCATGCGTGTTCTATTACAGAGTCCATTTAGGGGATCAACATTGCGGAGGAGCATAAGTGGACATCCGGCTTTAAGTTTGAGTTGCGCTTCAGGAAGGCCAGATACTTGCAAGGAGTTCAAGAATTCCACAGGATAATTTTCATGCCCCTCTCCAACCACTTTATCAATTGACAGAGCTACTAACTCTTCTCCAGGGAATTTTGTGAGGATTGCTGAATTAAGGTCACTAATGGCATCATTTTTTGTAGAGAGGATGGTGTGGTGGAGGAAATAATGGTCATCTTGGTCTCCATTTGCAATTCCAGGATAGGTAGTGTCAACTAATGAGTCTATGCTGTTTTCTGGCATAAGCATGTTGGCGGGAAGCTCAATAGTTCCATCTCCTGCAATTCCACAACCACCACCAATATCCAGGAGCCAGCTATCAAAGGCTTCAATTTCTGGAGTACGGTCCAGGCACATGTTCTGTGTGAAATAACAGATATGGATATTTGTCCACAGTTGTGACCTTCTAAGAAAGGCAGAAATAATGTATTGCCTTGACCCTCTTGGAATAACAGGTGTTGTTTGGTGGAAGTCCCCTCCAAAGACCATTATAATGCCTCCAAATGGAAGTTGATTATCCAAAATGTCCCGCAATGTATGATCTAATGCTTTAATCCCATAACAGTGTTGCATTGGCGCTTCATCCCAGACAATATCTCTGGTATGTCTCAATACCTCATGGAGGTCAGAGTTTTTTGGAATCCTGCATGTGGATGTTTCATGTACAGGAATAGGGATTCAATCTCAGAGGATGCTACACATAAAGCAACATTATGATTATCTCTTGCTCAAGCAGCAGCAGCAATTGTATTACAGATATATGTTTTTCCCTTACCTTCAGCACTGTGAATAAAGAAAGTTGTTTCCTCATTATGGTGGATTGACTGCATAATGGTATCAAAAGCATTCTGCTGCTCTTGATTGAGCCTCTCTACATTATCTTCAACCTCCAAAGTAAGATCAGATCTGTCATAATTTTGCTGCTCGTGGAGAAGATGGTTTGCAATGATAGGCTCCCATTGTTGCTGAGGAAAAGGCATTGGTGGGAAGTTTGAATAACACTTGTTGGCTTGAGTAAGTATGGATTCCAGCAAGAATAGTCCATAATCATAAATCTGGTCTTCTGAAGGTTGGGCAATCCCTCTTTGAAGAAGGCAGTGGTGTAAATCATCACAAATCTTGTGTTTGTGCCGGTTCCAAAGGT